GAACATATTACCATATATAAACCCAATTATACTCTTATCAGTAGTCTAGAGTTACTCCTATTCGTTGTATGTTCTTACAATGTACTTAACAAAATACTTACTAATAAATATTTAGTAAAAACCCATATGCAGTGCTAGCAACTCTTCAGATGTTAACTGGGAGAATGTTATTCCAATTTTTGTTGCTATTGTTCTCTTGATTTGTTTTGTTTTGAGAGAGGGGAGCAGGATTGGGATGAAAAACAGTGAAGAATTAAAAATCTCCAGGAAGAATGTGTGCAAGTAACCTTATATTTTGCAAATTAGGGAATTCTGAATTTTACAGTAAGATGATGTAAGGGGAGAAAACTGACTGAGTAGATAAAAGAGAAACAAACATAATTTAAGTTTAAAGATACTCTTAAAAAAAAAAACCCAACCATTTGAGACATACGGAAACTTAGATGTGATCCAAATGTTCTGCTGACCAACTATCTGCAACAAACATCTTGTGGACATTATTTCACAGAGATGTTCGAAAACAAATCAGTCAGTAAAAATAAAGTTGCCAATTAATCAGTTATACACAATTGCTAAGTTATGGAACTATTTTGTGGTGCTTCATACTCTACGATAGAAGGAAAATGTTTGTTTTTCTTCAAAGATCGTACACACAAACTAAATATGCCCCATGTTTAACTTTCACAACTAAATACTTAACAAACACAAATGCAAAGATCAAAGAGAATAAACCTTCATGAAATCATGCTATGAGAGTCTGTATCACTTTGGCATAAAACTTGCACAAAACACTGGCCAGCCAGCATAGAATAAAGAAAGATCATCTGATCTACTGCACAAGCACCCTTTGGCAAAGAATTTGCTTCAAATTCTTGACACCTCACTTCGTATTTCCACTCTCTTTTAGTTTGTTTTATGAAAACGTGAAGTAATTTATAATCTTTCTCCAGAAAGCGTCTCTTAAAAGTAGTTTGTAGTGATGCTGTAGTTGTGTTGGTTCCAGGATATAATAAGAGAGACAAGATGGGCAAGGTAATATCTCTTATTGGACCAACTTCTGTTGTGAAAGATACAAGCTTGTGAACTACAAAAAGTGACCTCGGCCTCTTTGTCTCATAAAAAAAAGTGTGAGAATATTCTTTACCTATTGCTTAGTAACATTACTATAAATGAGATTAGAGAACAAGTTATCTTTTACTATTTGAATGGCCAGCATCACGTGTAGAACCAATTTCACTGTTTCCCCTATATAATAGTTTTTTCTTCTTGAGGTAGGTCTTTGACAGTAACAGAAAAGTGTTTTAGGTGTTTTTGGGGGGGGGGGGGTAAGAAATTTCAAAAGGTTTGTTAACTATAAACTTTGGTTTCAGGGGACACAGGAGCAGGTACAGCAAATAATTTAGATGTTTGTTTTGTTTTAATTACTGTCTAGATTTCAAATTGATGTCTTTCCTTTAAACAGGTTGGGTTTTTTGGAGTTTCTTTTTTTAAAAAACACAAACCATTAACAAAAAAATCCCAACAGCTATCTTCTTCCTTAAAATAAATGAGAGGTCTGGGGAGAAAATTCTACAAGTCACTATGTCAAGAATTTTGTTAGGTAATAAATGTTTTGTATTTTTATTAACTGCAATAACTTTCTAAGGGCTAACATCCCAAATGGAAAAAGTACAACCTGTTTAAACATCTTAATTTTAGTTTTATTAATATGCTAGAACAACCTCACTTGTAAATAACATTGGAACAACTAGAGCATTCAAAACAGAGCTGAGCGAAATCTTGATATTTCCACTAATGCTCTAATTAAAAAAGAAAATCTCAGCTAATAAAATGAGATTGTTCACTAAGAAATTCAGGAAGACAACTTAATTGTGCCTGATTGTGTGAATTTATTGAAATCAGACAATTAGTGGAAATAGGTAACCGACAAAATATCTATTCAAGAGCATGATAATTAGAAGCAGAAATGGCTTTCCAACTATATACCATATATACTCGTTCATTAGCCCGTTCGTTTATAAGCCAACCCCCCCCCCAAAATAGATAGGTAAAAATAGCAAAAACTGTATGACCCTTTCATAAGCCAACCCTATATTTCAGGGGTTGGGAAACTTTGGCTCCCAGCCTGTCAGGGTAAGCCACTGGCGGGTTGGGACGTTTTGTTTACTTGGAGCGTCTGCAGGCATGGAGCCCATAAGCATCAAAGAGCGGGAGTCGGCTTATAAATGGGTCTACACCAAAATTTGATGATTTTAAACTCTGTGGAATCATTGAATTGAATATCTAATACATTTAGTTTTGTTCATCTGGAGCATCTGCAGGCATGGAGCCCCTCAGCTCCCTGTGGCCACGGTTCGCCGGTCCCCACCAACCACTTCCCGCAGCTCCCATTGGCTGGGAATGGCGAACCCTGGCCACAGGGAGCT